TTGGACCTTGGTCTGTGTCACTGAGCTCAGTTTTTGTGGAGACGGGGTCTTTATTTCTTGCTCTCCGTGGTAATATCTTTCTCAGGCTTTCTGTCTCTCCCAGGTTGATGCTCCTTTTCCATCCCCGTCACTGCATTATTGCACTTGTGACTGACTGAATGAATGAATGAGTGAATGAGTGAGTGAATACAGGTTCCCCCTTTCCTCCCATTCACTTCTCACCTTCTGCTCCATCTCGGCAGCACTGGGTATCCCTCCCCCAGATAGGCATGTCGAGGTCTCCCACCCCCGCCACAGCCATGGGCCCGAGCACTCCCCACTAGCCCTCCTGCCCAGCAGCTCTGGGCTCCCAAACTTTCTCCCTTATAAAGTCAGGCGGCAGCAGACACCCAGGAATGCTGCTGCTGCCCATGACGCACGCCTGCTGCGGGGCTGCCTGGCTGCCCCCAGGCGACCCAGAATGTGGCAGGAGTGGGGCACACAGGAATCGATTGCCAGGAAGTGGGGTCAGTGGGGGTGCCAGGGCAGGCAGGGCTCAGACAGGTGGCTGGGCCAGGAACTGCGGACTCTCTCCTTCTCTCTGTTAAAATTCTTCTCCTCTGGAGCCTCAGTGCTTCTGTCTGGAAAGTGGAGGCCGAGCACCCTACTGCAGGCTTGGGCTGCAGAGAACTTACATCCAAGTTCTGTACTGTGGGACACAGCGCCCAAGGAGTGGAAGGCTGGGGAGGCGGGAAGCCTCAGGCCTGGCTCTCCAGACTGTCCTAAGGCAAGGGGTGGTGTGCCCAGTTACTGCCAGGGTGGGGCAGAGAGAAGCGGGGAGCCAATGACAGAGCAAGGGAGAGATCAGGGAAAAGCAGAGGCAGAGACAGACAGCAGGGATGGCTGAGAGGCAAAGGCAGAGACAAAGGAGAGGTGGCACAGAGACAGGGAGAGGGTGGTCTGGCTCGCCCCGGGGGTGTGAGACCTCAGAAGGAGCAGGCTCTGCACTAGCTGCCCACGATGGAAAAGGCATCTGCCTGTGCTTGAGACCCCACCCTCATCCAGGCCTGGGAGGGAGTGGGGAGCCTGGTAGGCAGAGGTACTCCCCCCACACACAGGGGCCCCTTGTCCCATGAACCTGCTGGCAGACAGAGCATTAGGCATTGTAATGGAAGCAACCTCATGCTTGGGACCCCCAGGGACAGGGACCAGGTCCCCACTCACACACATCCTAGGAGTGTCCTAGGAGCCAGGAGATGCCCGTATGGCCCATGCCTCACCAGAGGGTGGCTTGCTGGAGGACCTTGACCTAGACCTCATCTGCCCATCTGAGAAGGAGATTAGCAGGGAAGGACATGGGCTCTTTCTGTGCCCCCAGCCTTAGGTCTCAGGAAGAAGGATGGAGCCACCCTACCCTGGGGCCCAGACAATAGTGTCCTGTTCATGGGGAGGAAAGGCAGGAAGCCGAGAGGACTTCTCCACCTTCAGCAAACCTCTCGGATGGGCGCCGGGCAGGAAGGGCAGGAACCCTCCAGGAACACATGGCCCCTTTCATGCAGTCAGGCCCAGCCACGTAACGGCGGGCGGGCACCGAGGGGCAGGACAGGTCTGGGCACAGTCACTGCTCTGTCCTGGCAGCTCCCAGCCCACACACACGCACATACACACAAACACATAGCCTGATGCAAACCCAAAACAGAGCCCCAGCAGCCACCCACACACTTGCACACACACACGCAAATACACATCTACAGAGCCCTGGACACTCACCTACGTACCTTCTTTCAGACAGAGAGGCCCATACATGCTGCACTCTTCCAGCCCAGACCCCTGGGGCATCCTGCTCCTCCCATGCCAAAAGCCTGGTACCACCCAGGCAGCCGGCACCATTAACCCTCTGCACATCCATACTTGAGAGCAGACCCCTGGACCTAGAAGGGACTTCCAGGACTAATCCCCACAGTCGGAGAGAGAAGGGATGGGAAGGAGTGCCCATTTTACAGACACTGAGGCCTGAACTGGGTGCCTTCTCCTGGCCCAGAGGGCAGCCCGCACGGCTGCGGCAGGTCTGGACCGGTGTTTTGATGAATCATGGGTCTTGTTGACCCAGGAGAGTTGAGGGCAGGTCTGATCCAGCCTGTGCTGATGCCTCTTCCCCCGCCCATCTCCCCCCACCCTGCCACCCCAGTCGGGCTGCTGAGCCTGGCCTGGCCCCTGCTACTTTTCCCTCTCCTTCTCTGCTGTCAAGTTATCTAGAGCCTTAAGGAAGGTCAGGGGACAGAAACCCTCCTCTGCCTTACCCAAGGGAGACTTGTGTATCCCTGCCAGTCTCTCACTTGACCTCGCCACCCTCCTCTGAGACTGCCTGATCCCCTTCCTCTTAGCTCCCCAACACCACCCTCACCTCCCCCAGGAAGTCCTCTGGGATTGACTTGTAGCTCATTACTTCTTTATCCTGTACCCCCCTCCAACTTCCCCTCACCTCCAGGACAGGGATTCTGGGTTCTTGCAACTGCAGCCCATCAGAGAAAGTAAGAGGGGCAGAAGAAGGAGGGAGGGGGGTGGCGCTGTCAGAGTTTCCACAGCCCTGGCCAGCGAGGCCTCAGAGGCCTCTGTCGGGGCGAGGGGCTGCCTAGCCTGCGCGCTCCAGCAGCACAAGGCAGCCTGTGTGAGCCCTTCCCCGCCCGAGCCCACAGGAAACATCAGGGCCCAGCCCTCAATGGGCCCATTCAGACCCCAGCTCTCTGGAAAGTACCTCTGCTTCCTGCCACCCTCCCATTCTGTCCAAATAGGCTGTTTCTCTCTCCTACCGAGAGGGGACTGGAGGCAGGTTGTTCAGTGGTTAGGGCTAGCCATCTACTTCACTTCCTGCCTGGCCCAGAGCCCTGACTTCCACCATGCCCCAGCGGGTTTACGTATAACTTTAGTGCAAGGGAGTGTGGATGGGTGTGTGGCCTGGGGGTGGACGGGTCACTCCCACACAGGGGAGGGAGCTGTGCCTCCTTCTCCATGGGTGGTGGGCAGGAAAACGTTGACAACAGGCTTTCTGGGGGAAGGGGGAGCCCTGATTTGTAGTGCTTGTCTCTTTCCATGGTATAAATGTTCTCACAGTGGGCAACATTACCTGGCTCACAAAATTCCTGAAAATTTAACAATCAGCTCTTGCCAGCTGCAGCGAGCCACTCCGGCTCACCATGATGGGGGCTCCATCCTGCAGGGGCCACGTGCCCCACCCTCTGTGCTGAAGCTGCCCTCACTTTACAGTGCTGTGTTTTGCTTTAAAGAATCAATGTCCTTGCAGATTAGGTAGCCCTGCAGGTGCCCTCCTCCTGCCAGTTCCCTGCTCTGTCCCTCACTGGCACCCAGGTGTGCTAGGCCTGCTGGGCCAAACCCACCCAGATGGTTTTGTAGGTCTTGCTTGATTCCTCTAACTTCCCAGACAAGGTTCTGGCGTTGCCAGCGGAGGAGATAACCCGAAGGGATTTCGGCTCTGCCTGAGGGGAAGAGCATCATCTTCCTCGGACATCCCTCCCAGCGGTGTCGGCTGCAGGAGGGCATACAGTCTCAGCCTCCTCCGGTGGCCGTTGCTACTTGCTCAGCTGCTGTCAGCTGGCTCAGGCTGGCCAGGGACCAGCACATATGTGGCTGGTACCAGATCATCGGTATCAAGGCCATCAGCCCGTGCTTGCTCACGGGGGGGTCGCAGGGAAGCCTGAGAGGGATGATTCACCTTTTTAACCCATTCCTGTCTGCCCACCCAGCCCTGGATGTCTACGGGCAGAGCCAAAGTCATATTTGGCTTTTATCACCGTAAAAGGAAGGACCAGAAATTATGGCAATAGGTTGGTGGTCAAAGGAGACTAATTTGGGGAAACTACCTGGAGGAAGTAGCAAAAAAAAGGAGGTGTCCCAGAGTGGGACAAAAGGGGCCCTACATAGTGACCACTAACCCTGGGCAAGCCCAGAAATGGACTGCTGCCTTGAGAGACCCTCTTCGGCCTGCCTAGCAGCCCCTCAGCCCTTCCCAGTCCCTGCCTTCAGCCTGGGGAAAGTGGGAGCTCAGCTGCTGTCACCCCTAGCTCCTCAGCCAAGGTGGAAACAATGAGGCCGTTAATTGCTCCACAGCAGGAAGCAGTGGCGGGGGTGATGGAGGAAGTCTGGGCCATTTGGGGTCTGACATTGCACATGGTCTCCATCTGGCCTCAGAACCTTTGCTCCTTGGCATCTTCAGCCTGGGGAAAGTGGGAGCTCAGCTGCTGTCACCCCTAGCTCCTCAGCCAAGGTGGAAACAATGAGGCCGTTAATTGCTCTACAGCAGGAAGCAATCGCGGGGGTGATGGAGGAAGTCTGGGCCCATTTGGGGTCTGACATTGCACATGGTCTCCATCTGGCCTCAGAACCTTTGCTCCTTGGCAGACCCAGGCCAACAAGCTGCCACCCCCACCCCCCAAAGGCAACTGGAAGAATGGCCTGAGAGAGACAGGAGAATGGGTGGGCTGCCTGTCTGAGAGCACCACTAGGCACCAGCCACGCCTGAGCCAACCCAGGGAGGCATGGCAATTGTCCCCAGGAGCCCAAGGTCGAGGGCACTTAAGAGAAGGATTCTGAGCAGGGATCAGTTTGGGTTGGGGGTGCTTCTTCTGAAACTCCATTCCTAGGGGCTGTGACCATCAAGCAGGTGATCAGGCCAGTGATGGTTTCCCTTTTGGCCAGAGCAGGGCCAGACCTGGGATGGAGATTCCTCTGGGGCCTGGGGAAAGAAAGCCAGAGCTGGCAGAAGCCTCTGGCCCCAGAACCTCCTAGGAGGAGACTGAGTTGCTGGGAATTTCTGGGTCTGGCCTCTTCAAAGCCAGGGTCTGGGCTACACACGAGACAGGCTGTGCCCTCTGGTGCCAGAACTAAGCAGGTGCTGGGATGTGGCTGATGATCACGGTCGGCACTGCATAGAATCACAGGGTACACCAGGACGGGACATCTCCCTGCAACCGCCATCCATCTCTGAGGCACCTCGCCTCCTCCAGGCAAGAGTCAGAGCCTTGACCCCAGCTCCCTCTCTCATTCAGCCTCCTTCTTCGGGGAGAACCACCTGGAGGTGCCCGTGGCCACAGTCCTGACCGACATAGACCTGGAGCTGCAGTTCTCCACGTCTCAGCCTGAAGCCCTACTGCTCCTGGCAGCAGGTCCGGCTGACCACCTCCTGCTGCAGCTCTACTCCGGACGCCTGCAGGTCGGTGACCTCCCCCTGGGATCAGGGGCAGGATTCCTTCTCTAGCTTTGAATGGCTTCCAACTGGCTGTGTGGCCTTGTGCAAATCACTTTTACCTTGGGGTCTCAAGTTCTACACTGTGGGGACAGACAGTAGCATCCCAGAAAGTGTGAGTCCCTTGTGAACAGGCTCTGCCCTCCTGCCCTCTGCACCCTCATTTCTGACCACAACCCCCAGCTGGCCCTCTGTGCTCTGATGGCCCTGAGCTGTGTTCAGCTCCCGACCAGCCTGTGGTCTCTTGCTGCCCGGCCTTTGCTCACTACACTCCCTCTGCCTGGCATGTGCCCGCCTCACCTGTCCCCTGTACCTGCCTACCTGCAGCCTCTCCTTAAAGTCTCGGTATGAACATCTTCTCCTCTGGGAAGGGTCCCCGAAGCTCTCCTGGGTGAGGTGCCCTCTCCTGGGCTCCCAGGGCCCCTGTGCATCCCTCTGGCATTGCACCTGTTGCCTTGTGCCTCTGCCGTCTGTCCGTGACAGCAGCAGTACCAGCACCGCTACAGCTTCCTCACTGTTCCATCTCATCCTGCAAGACACCACCAGCTTATTAGCGAGAAGTCTTCTGCTCTCTCTGGATTCTTCCCCCTAACCCTGTGCCTCTGCCGTCTGTCCGTGACAGCAGCAGTACCAGCACCGCTACAGCTTCCTCACTGTTCCATCTTGTCCTACAAGACACCACCAGCTTATTAGCGAGAAGTCTTCTGCTCTCTCTGGATTCTTCCCCCTAACCATGAAGAGTCTGAGAACCCAGGGTCTTAGTCCAGAGTTGGGAGAGCCATCTGCCTCCACACGCCAGCGGGGAGAGGCCTACGGCCTCGTCAGCCTGCTGCTGTCGCTGCTTCTCACTGCCACAAGGCGTCACTGTTGAGTGCTGGCCTGGTACAGTCCGGTGCTGATGCCACGTTCCACTCTGCCAAGATCGGTGGTGTCCACCTACCTGCTGCTGTCGCTGCTTCTCACTGCCACAAGGCGTCACTGTTGAGCGCTGGCCTGGTACAGTCCGGTGCTGATGCCACGTTCCACTCTGCCAAGATCGGTGGTGTCCACCCCCAGAGGCACTCCATACTTGGACTCAAAGGTCATGGTTCTTAGTGCCCTACTCCTTCAGTTCCCATACTCTGCCACCACCCATTCTACCATCTGGTTGTGGGAGCACTGCACCAGCGCCAGTTCTGGTGTCAGTGTCACAGAGGATCTCCCCCACCCAGGTCAGGGAGCTTTTCTTTACTCAGCCTTCAAAACACAGAGCATCTGATTGGGCTCCCCATCCATGAGCAGCGGGCCTGGCAACCCTCAGTGACCCCAAGGTGCTTTGTCCTACTTAAGGGGACTCATCAGGGGATTGATTCCCAGGTGCCTGTTATTCCAGGGGTAGAATCTTCTGTATTCCAAGATGATTTTTCTGACATTTCCCACCCAAGGAAAGAAGGAAAGAATAAAAAAATACAAGTTGGGTCTCTAGGAGAGCATCCTACTGTGTGTCAGTTCCTTGTGGTCACAGACCACATGTGATTCACGTTGGGGTCCCCAGAGTCCATCCAGGCATGGCCCCAAGTTCACTTTAGTAAGTGTTTGGAGGATGAGTAAAAAGATGGCAGGAAGGTGAGGGGGTGGCCTTTGTCCAGGTCCTCTGCTCTGGCAACCCCAAGCATGGGCACCCACTATGCTTTTATAAGGGAAGTGATGGATTCAAAGTGATGTCCTGTCCCCCATTCCCCCTGTCTCTCCTCAGGTCAGACTTGTCCTGGGCCAGGAGGAGCTGAGGCTACAAACCCCGGCAGGGACGCTGCTGAGCGACTCCATCCCCCACACTGCCGTGCTGACCATTTCAGATGGCTGGGCCATGTTGTCCGTAGATGGGCTCCTGAACACCTCAGCCCCAGTCCTGGGAGCCCCCCTAGAGGTCCCCTATGGGCTCTTTGTCGGGGGCGTTGGGAGCCTTGGCCTGTCCTACCTGAGGGGAGCCAGCCGACCCCTGAGGGGCTGTCTCTATGCAGCCGTCCTCAATGGCCGCAGCCTCCTCCAGTCACTAACCCCAGATGTGCATGAAGGCTGTGCCGAAGAGTTTTCTGCTGGTGACGATGTGGCCCTGGGCTTCTCTGGGCCCCACTCTCTGGCTGCCTTCCCTGCCTGGGGCACTCAGGATGAAGGCACGTTGGAGTTTACACTCACCACGCGGAGCCAGCAGGCACCCCTGGCCTTCCAGGCAGGGGGCCAGCGTGGGGACTTCATCTATGTGGACATATTTGAAGGCCACCTGCGGGCTGTGGTGGAGAAGGGCCAGGGCACTGTATTGCTCCACAACAGTGTGCCTGTGGCTGATGGACAGCCCCATGAGGTCAGTGTCCACATGAACGCTCACCAGCTGGAAATCTCCGTGGACCAGTACCCCACACGTACTTCCAACCGCGGGGTCCTCAGCTACCTGGAGCCACGCGGCAGTCTCCTCCTGGGGGGGCTGGATGCAGAGGCCTCTCGTTACCTCCAGGAACACCGCCTGGGCCTGGCACCAGGGGCTGCCAACGCCTCCCTGCTGGGCTGCATGGAGGACCTCAGTGTCAATGGCCAGAGGTGGGGGCTCCGGGAAGCCTTGCTGACTCGTAGCATGGCAGCCGGCTGCAGGCTTGAGGAGGACGAGTATGAAGAGGATGCCTATGGCCCATATGAAGCTTTCTCCACCCTGGCACCTGAGGCGTGGCCGGCCATGGAGCTGCCTGAGCCATGCGTGCCTGAACCGGGGCTGCCTCCTGTCTTTGCCAATTTCACTCAATTGCTGACCATCAGCCCACTGGTGGTGGCCGAGGGTGGCATGGCTTGGCTTGAGTGGCGGCACGTGCAGCCCACGCTGGACCTGACCCAGGCTGAGCTGCGCAAATCCCAGGTGCTGTTCAGCGTGAGCCGAGGTGCACGCCATGGAGAGCTAGAGCTGGACATCCCGGGTGCCCAGACACGGAAAATGTTTACCCTCCTGGACGTGGTGAACCGCAAGGCCCGCTTCGTCCATGATGGCTCTGAGGACACCTCTGATCAGGTGGTGCTGGAGGTGTCCGTGACAGCACGGGCACCTGTTCCCTCATGCCTGCGGAGGGGCCAAACTTACATCCTGCCCGTGCAGATAAACCCTGTCAACGACCCGCCCCGCATCATCTTCCCGCACGGCAGCCTCATGGTGATCCTGGAACACACGCAGAAGCCACTGGGGCCCGAGGTGTTCCAGGCCTACGACCCGGACTCTGCCTGCGAGGGCCTCACCTTCCAGCTCCTTGGCACCCCTGCCAGCCTCCCTGTGGAGCGCCGAGACCAGCCCGGGAAGCCAGCGACTGAGTTCTCTTGCAGGGAGCTGGAGATGGGCAGCCTTGTCTATGTCCACCGCGGTGGCCCTGCACAGGACCTGACGTTCCGGGTCAGCGACGGGCTGCAGGCCAGCCCCCCAGCGACACTGAAGGTCGTGGCTGTCCGGCCAGCCATACAGGTCCACCACAGCACAGGGCTGCGCTTGGCTCAGGGCTCCGCTGCACCCATCTTGCCTGCCAACCTGTCAGTGGAGACCAACGCTGTGGGGCAGGATGTGAGCGTGCTGTTCCGAGTCACCGAAGCCCTGCAGTTTGGGGAGCTGCAGAAGCAGGGGGCAGGTGGGGTGGAGGGCGCTGAGTGGTGGGCCACGCAGGCTTTCCACCAGCGGGATGTGGAGCAGGGTCGTGTGAGGTACCTGAGCACCGACCCAGAGCACCGCACCAACGATGCTGTGGAGAACCTGACCCTGGAGGTGCAGGTGGGCCAGGAGACCCTGAGCAATCTGTCCTTCCCAGTGACCATTCAGCGAGCCACGGTCTGGATGCTGCAGCTGGAGCCACTGCACATGCAGAACACCCAGCAGGAGGCCCTCACCACAGCCCACCTGGAGGCCACCCTCGAGGGGACAGGCCCAAGCCCCACCACCTTCCACTATGAGGTGGTTCAGGCCCCCAGGAAGGGCAACCTTCAGCTACAGGGCACAAGGCTGTCAGACAGTCAGGGCTTCACCCAGGATGACCTGCAGGCTGGTCGGGTGACCTACGAGGCCACAGCACGTGCCTCGGAGGCAGTCGAGGACAACTTCCGTTTCCGTGTCACAGCTCCACCACACTTCTCCCCACTCTATACCTTCCCCATCCACATTGGTGGTGACCCCGATGCTCCCATCCTCACCAACGTCCTCCTCTTGGTGCCTGAGGGTGGGGAGGGTGTCCTCTCTGCTGACCATCTCTTCGTCAAGAGTCTCAACAGTGCCAGCTACCTCTACGAGGTCATGGAGCGGCCCCGCCATGGGAGGTTGGCTTGGCGAGGGGCAGAGGATAAGGCTCTGATGGTGACCTCTTTCACTAATGAAGACTTGCTGCATGGCCGGCTGGTCTACCAGCACGATGACTCTGAAACCACAGAAGATGATATCCCATTCGTGGCTACCCGCCAGGGTGAAAGCAGTGGTGACATGGCCTGGGAGGAGGTACGGGGTGTCTTCCGAGTGGCCATCCAGCCCGTGAACGATCATGCCCCCGTGCAGACCATCAGCCGCATCTTCCATGTGGCCCGGGGTGGGCGGCGGCTGCTGACCACGGACGATGTGGCCTTCAGTGACGCTGACTCGGGCTTTGCTGACACTCAGCTGGTGCTGACCCGCAAGGACCTCCTCTTTGGCAGTATCGTGGCTGTAGATGAGCCCACGCGGCCCATCTACCGCTTCACCCAGGAGGACCTCAGGAAGAGGCGAGTCCTATTTGTGCACTCAGGGGCTGACCGCGGCTGGATCCAGCTGCAGGTGTCCGATGGGCAGCACCAGGCCACAGCACTGCTTGAGGTGCAAGCCTCAGAGCCCTACCTCCGCGTGGCCAATGGCTCCAGCCTTGTGGTCCCTCAAGGAGGCCAGGGCACCATTGACACAGCTGCGCTCCACCTGGATACCAACTTGGACATCCGTAGTGGGGATGAGGTCCACTACCATGTTACAGCTGGCCCTCGCTGGGGACAGCTACTCCGGGCTGGACAGGCAGTCACGGCCTTCTCCCAGCAGGACCTGCTGGATGGAGCCATTTTCTACAGCCACAATGGCAGTCTCAGCCCCCGTGACACCCTGGCCTTCTCCGTGGAAGCAGGACCAGTGCACACAGATGCCACCCTACAAGTGACCATTGCCCTAGAAGACCCACTGGCCCCACTGCAACTGGTCCAGAACAAGAAGATCTACGTTTTCCAGGGGGAGGCAGCTGAGATCAGAAGGGACCAGCTGGAGGTGAGGAGATGGAGGTGGCAAGCAGGGGACTGGGCCAGGTAGAGAGGCTGGACCAGGTAGAGAGGCTGGGCCAGGTAGAGGGGGCCCACCCAGCCTGACCTTCAGGCTGAGCATGTCTGTACATTTTGGGATGACTACGGTGGCTTCTAGGTGAGGTATTCACTGGTACATGTATTTCCAAGAGTTTCTGGGTACTACGTTAAATGTATATGTGCCTATGAGTTGTGTGTGTCTCCAGATACATACACACGAGCACATGCTGTGGCTAACCATGCAGATTCCTGGGCCCCACCCAGAACCACAGAATCTCTGAAGTAGAGCCTGAGAATCTGCATTCTAATAAGTTCCCTGGGAGGTTTGAGGACTGCTGACCACGGAGACAGGCTTCGCTGCCCCTCAGATCCCTGTGGCCTTACCACTTTTCTCAGACCCCAGATGAGGACTAAGAAGGTATGTCAAGGGTCTGCCCACCCAGGAACCTCACAGAGCAATCACCGGCCATCCAGCAAGCTTGCTGATTTGCTGTAGTGCCCTCAGGCCAGTGCCTTGCCCTCTCTTGGCCTTATTCTCCTCCATAGCCAATTTCTGAGACCTTACTGATTCTGGATGTCTGGGCTTTGAGGCAGGCTGTGACAAAACATGTCCAGTGTCAGGAAGTCCTCACTTTGAAGGGGACAGACAGCATTTGAGCCAGGCTTTGAAGAATAGAGGGTGTCAGTAGCGGAGCATGGGGGATGGTATTCCAGGCAGAAGGAACATTCCAGGCAAAGACCCAAAATCAGGAATGAATTTGGGGGTGTTGTTTAGCCTTTTGTGGCTGGACCATCAACTGAGAGAGCACCCAGGGGCCCCTGGGCTGGACCCCGGTCTGCGAGCTCCATCGTGCAGGAACCTGCGCCTCTAAGAAGGGCGGGGCGCCCTCTGGTGGTCAGGGGTGGGGAGGAAGGCTCCGGGCAAACCAGCCACAGGCCTGAACAGAGAGAGCCTGAGCAGAGAAGAGCTCTGTGCGCGTGTGTGCGTGTGTGAGTCTGTGCACATGCACGTGTGTACCTGTGTACACGTGTGACTACGTCAGCATATGATGCGCTTGTCTGTATCATCGAGTCTGGGGACATGTGATCGTGCACCTCCCTGAGGGAGTATGTCTCAGGCTGTGTGACTGACAGTGTACCAGTTTGTGGGGTGGGTGTGAATGAGCTGCGTGTCTGTGTGAACCTGAGTGTACGTGTGTGTGTGTGAGTGAGCAGTGCTGTCTGGAGGAAGGAGGGACTGTGGAGGTTGAGCCTGTTCTGGCTACTTAGGGTCACACAGCCCCCTTTGTGACCCCCCAGTGAGTCCCTGTGGCCCTCTGTTAACCAGGCAGCCCAGGAGGCAGTGCAGCCGTCAGACATCGTGTTCTCAGTGAAGAGCCCACCCAGCGCTGGCTACCTGGTGATGGTGTCGCACGGCGCCTCTGCAGATGGGCCACCCAGCCTGGACCCCGTGCACAGCTTCTCTCAGGAGGCAGTGGACGCGGGCAGGGTCCTGTACCTGCACTCCCGCCCTGAGGCCTGGAATGACACCTTCTCCCTGGACGTGGCCTCAGGTGTGGGTGCTCCCCTGGAGGGCATCCGTGTGGAGCTGGAGGTGCTGCCCGCTGCCATCCCACTGGAGGTGCAGAATTTCAGCGTCCCCGAGGGCGGCATCCGCACCCTGGCCCCTCCACTGCTTCGTGTCACTGGACCCTACTTTCCCACGCTGCCGGGCCTTGAGCTGCAGGTGCTAGAGCCGCCCCGGCACGGGGTCCTTCAGAGGGAAGAACGACCTCAGGATGGGACCATCAGCTCCTTTTCCTGGAGAGAGGTACGCTGCCAGGGAGACTGGGACTGCAGCCTAACTCTGGGAGCAGAGTTGCGGGAGCCCCAGGAACTACCAGTCTGGGGATATATACAGAAAGGAGACAGGGAGCCATGTTTAGGGGGCACCTGTGCTTTTCCCACGCTGCCAGGCCTTGAGCTGCAGGTGCTAGAGCCGCCCCGGCACGGGGTCCTGCAGAGGGAAGAACGGCCTCAGGACGGGACCATCGGCTCCTTTTCCTGGAGAGAGGTACGCTGCCAGGGAGACCGGGACTGCAGCCCAGCTCTGGGAGCAGAGTTGCGGGAGCCCCAGGAACTCCCAGTCTGGGGATATATACAGAAAGGAGACAGGGAGCCATGTTTAGGGGGCACCTGTGCTTTAAATATCTTATCTCACTTCTTCTTCACAACCCCTCTGGGAGGTAGAAAATGTTGTCTACATTTGCCACCTGTGGAAACTGAAGCTCTGAAGGAGGCAGTCTCCTCAGACACCCAAAGGCAGGACATGAAGGGTGCTGGGCCTGAGACCCACGGTGAGTCCCAGGCCTGCCGGGTCTGAATGCCAGCGCTGGGCCTGCCCACAGGTGGAGCAGCAGCTGATCCGCTATGTGCATGACGGCAGCGAGACGCTGGCAGACAGCTTCATCCTGGTGGCTAATGCCTCGGAGATGGACCGTCAGAGCCGTCCTGTGGCCTTCACCATCACCATCCTGCCTGTCAACGACCAACCCCCCATCCTCACCACAAACACAGGCTTGCAGGTGAGAGCGTCTCTGGGACCACCCCCATCTCTTCTCCTAGAAAGAGGCCAGGATCCCCACTTCCCACATGTAGCTCCCCTTCTAGGAGGCTGTTTTCTCCTCTGAAAGATGGGGACACTGCCACGTGCTTCCAAAGTTGTTGGAAGGAGAGAGGTGATGTTGCACTGAAAACAGAAGACAGGTACGAGGTTGTGTTGTTGCACACTTATAAGTGCAGTGAGCAACCTTGTGAATGGCCACGCTTGGTCCTGCTGTTGCCTGATCTCACCCACAGCAGAGGCTTTTTCTGAGGCTCAAGACCAGAGCACCTGACAAAATTTCTTACAGGCCCTTCACAGTGGGCCTCAGGTGGGGAGCAGTCAAGCTCCCTCCCTCCACCCCCAGCAAGTGAAGGCCAAGCTTGGCTCCCCAAGCTCCCCACCTTATACCATTGCCAAGCAGTGGTGTCCCCATTCAGCAGAGGTGGAAGTTGAGGCCCAGAGAGGGGGTAGAACTTCTCCATGGTCATGAAAGTAGCTCCTGGTGGAAGAGAAAGGGCATGGCTTGACTAAACCCACATAGCACCACAGTGAATGGGCAGGGCTTTGAATGCCAGCATCTAGGGTGTAGACTCCCCAGTCAGCAGGGCCATGGAAATTTCCAGAAAAGAGCTAACTTGGGCTATCTCTGACATGGAGCACTGGGACTCTTTGGAGGTGTAGGATGTGCTTGTGAAGGGGGCGGCCTTGTGGTGAGGAGGCCAGCATGTGTCCATGGGACACAGACTATGGGCTACCCTGGGACCACAGGTCAGAAATGCTATGTGGCAGCTTGGCCACCAGGTGGTGCCATCCGCCCGTGTTTTTTCCAGGAGCTCAGTGCTGAAGCCCAGACACATAGATATGACCCCTCGTTCCAGGACTCTGCCTGGGGACTTCCAGGGACTGGGGATGGGAGCCCAGGAATGCCTGAAGGCTCAGTTTCCTGGGTATGGGGGCCCCGCCCCAATAATGCCCCCAAGTAATTGATTCAGCAGGACATGTAACAGGATCCCAGGAACAGGGTCCTGTCCTGCTGTTAAGCAGGAGGCCTGAAGGGGGCTGCCCTTCATTCTGTACGTGGGGAGGGTCTGTGACTGTGCTGGAAACACCCAGGTCCTCAGCCCGGCATGGCTTCCATGCTGCAGGACAGTGGGCCAACCATCAGCCTTTCCGCTCTCCGTGCCTCCACCCGCTCCCTCCAAAGGAGAGGCCGTTTCTAAGAATCCTGGGCAGGCCAAAAATCACCATTCCCATCGTGTGCCCAGCCCCTGCCCAAACACATGGAGGATCTGAAGGGAGACCCCTGCCTGTCAGTGAGACAGAGCCAGATTAAGCAGCACTGTTGGTCGGGGTTGGGGGTCTCTGGGGAGTGAGAATTTGGCGAAGGTAAGAGCTGGGGCCTTCCTAGCTAGGGGGAGGGACATGAGCTGGCCTTGAGGAGCGAGCAGGATTAGGGCAGATGTAGAGGAAAGAGCCTGGGGCCTGGAGGCCCCAGGGCATCAGGGAAAGGGGAATGGGGTGGAGGGCCCTTTGTGCAGGGGAGCCCAGAGTTGCACAGGCCTCACAGGGCCTCAGTTGCCAGCCGAGGGCCTAAGCCACAGCAGGGTTGGTGCCCTGATGGCAGCCCCAGAGCCGGGGAGGAAGGGAGTGGGTGAGCGTGGCAGGGGCAGAACCTTCACAGGCTTGTGTCCCCAGATGTGGGAGGGGGCCACTGTGCCCATCCCTGTGGAGGCCCTCAGGGGCACAGACGGCGACTCAGGGCCTGAGGACCTGATCTACACCATCGAGCAGCCCAGCAATGGACGGGTGGTGCTTCAGGCAGCACGGGGCACCGAGGTCCTCAGCTTCACACAGGCCCAGCTGGATGGCGGGCTCGTGCTGTTCTCACACACAGGTGGGTGCTGAGAGGGGGGCTGTCAAGTCCTGCAGCCCACAGTGAGGCTCTGAAGATGGGGGGCCATCTTGGGCCAGCAGTACCCATCTCCATGCCTGTCCCCAGGAGCCCTGGATGGAGGCTTCCGCTTCAGCCTCTCCGATGGCGAGCACACTTCCCCTGGACACTTCTTCCAAGTGACAGCCCAGAAGCAAGTGCTCCTGTCATTGGAGGGCAGCCAGACACTGACCGTTTGCCCAGGTGGGTCTGCCGAGCGTGGTGATCCTGCCTGCCTGAGAGCGGGGGCCGAGCTGAGGTGACACACTGGGATCACACTGCCTCTGGCCAGTGCAGGCCTTGCCGCAGCTCCCGGTCAAAGGCTGACAGACCCCTTTTGCCTCTTTTAGGATCTGTCCAGCCGCTCAGCAGCGAGACCCTGAGAGCCAGCTCCAGCGCAGGCACCGACCCCCACCACCTGCTGTACCGGGTGGTACGGGGCCCCCAGCTTGGCCGGCTGTTCCATGCCCAGCAGGGCAGCGTCGGGGAGGCCCTGGTGAACTTCACTCAGGCTGAGGTAAGGGCCCAGCTCTGCAGCCACCGCTCAGACCCCATCCAGCCACAGGTGGCCCGCTCTGGCCGTGGACATACACGTAGGCATGGGTACCAGCTCCAGCACCATTGGCAGCTGACACTCTCCAGGCTCGCCATGGTTCTGCCCTGCCCTCCAGAGGCTGCCAGGCTGGCAGGGCAAGTGGAGGCTTAGTGTTCCAAGGAGGGGAGGAGAAAGCTGCAGTGGGAGGCCGGGGATACCTGGACCCAGAGCAGGGATCAGGTCCTAGGACTTGGCTTTTAGAAGGAAGCTGCAGCTGGACCCTGGGGGTTAGAAGGGGTGCACCATGAGGGGAGCACTAGAGGCGCCCCAGCAGCTAGTGAAGGGCAGTGCTTGGTTCAAGGGGATAGAGTTTGAGGTGAAGCAGCTGTTGCGCATGTGGGCCGAGGTGTGAGCCTGGGGCTCAGATCAGGGGCCAGCGAGAAGCAGAATAGGTCCTGGGAGCAGAGGAGCAGACAGAAGGCAGCTGAGTAGGCCAACCTGGGGGTGAGGCTGCTGTCTGTCTGTACATCCATCCTGGCAGCTTTGGGGCATAATTGTCCCAGAGCACACCAGAGACCACCGGTAAACACTAGAACTGTCAGCCATGGTAGAGTCAGACTGCTAGGCTGCTGGGACCACAGCACTCTCTGTACTAACTGCCAGTGGGGCCCAGCAGCCACCACTTAAATTAACATCCCTACTAAGTCCAGAAGGTGCTGTGAGTGCCAGGACAACCTTGGTTCTCCCCAAAGGCAGAGCAGGAGTTTTCCAGGATGGGGCAGAGAAAGATCCAGACTCTTTCACAGGCTCTACAGAGCAGGCAGTGAACCAAATGCTCTGACCTATAGGCCATGTGGGTGTCCAGACGCACATGATCCCAGTGAATTCTGGGTGTGAAGGGGTCTCGGGGACACAGAGCTGATTCTGCCACTTGGGAGCCACAGCACTCTGGTTCTGCTCCAAGCTCCCTTCACCCTAGAGACCTCCCGAGCCTGGCATGCTCCTTCCCACCCCATCCAGGGTGAGTGCCCCTCCTGAGAAGTCCCACATCAGTGGAAGAGCTGAGCAAGTGCACAGCCAGAGCTCTGCCCAGCAAGCAGCTCGGACGGGGAGGACATGGACAAGGGGACACTGGGACCAGGGTGGGGTAAGGTTTCTCAGGTTTCGCACATCAACACCCCCAAGACTGGGCTTTCTGCTCTCCTGGAGTTCCAGCTCCTGCTGTGGCCCCGTTCCTGCTCCCTCCCCACAATGAAATATTCAGCAGGCGGGTGGCTGCAGCAGCTGTGCACTGGAGCCTTTGTCACCAGATGCCCAGGAAGGGGGAGAGTACAGGGCCAGGCCACCAGCACCCCTCCCCACCCTACAGTCCCCACCTTAACCCAGAGCTTCCCCCACACCCCAGCACTATGAAGGACTAGGCTGAATGGTCACCAGGGGGCCGGGCTGGCAGTGCCACCCAGGGAAGCTGGGAAGAGGCTAGGTGGCCAAGACACCCTCCCCTACCTAGGGAAGGGGGCAGGGCAGGACCGGGTGTAGTGTCTTGACAGCACCACAGTCCCACAGTACTCTAAGCTGGGCAGGGCAGGGATCAGGTGTCCCCATTTCGCAAATGAGGAAGCTGTGGAGGTCAGGTAGCTGTTCAGAGCACATGGCCAGCAGGAGGCAAAACCAGGACCATGCCTCGTGACCGCCAGCCAGGATTTCTTCCACCAGGGGACACTCCTTGCTCCCAGAACTCGGCACACTGCCTCACTCCCAGCCAGAGCCCTCCCGCCCACAGGACCTCCTGTGCCAGGCATCCTATGCCTCGTGACCGCCAGCCAGGATTTCTTCCACCAGAGGACACTCCTTGCTCCCAGAACTCGGGACCCCCGCCCCTGCCTGCACACTGCCTCACTCCCAGCCAGAGCCCTCCCGCCCACAGGACCTCCTGTGCCAGGCATCCAGCCTCCCGCCCCCACCTGGGGGTCTCCACTTCCTTCCCACCCACCCTGCAGCCTGGGCCAGAGGTTACAACTGGCAGTCCTTCAGTCCTTTGGGGCCACATCTGGCCCACAGATGTGTTTTATTTGGACTGCACAATGTGTTTAATATTTTCAAATTAATTGTCAACATATAACCTTTGGGAGATTTCACCAAAAAAACCTGATTTACAGTTTCTTAAAAGGCTGTGCTTCCTCTAATAGCAAACAGCTGAGGAGCATCCACCTTGTTTAGAAGAGATACTCCTCCTCCCCTGTAGACAGCTCTGCTCCCCTCTGCACCAGCCCTGCTCCCCTCTAGCTCCCCTCTGCACCGGCCCTGCTCCCCTCTGCACCGGCCCTGCTCCCCTCTGCACCGGCCCTGCTCCCCTCTGCACCGGCCCTGCTCCCCTCTGCACCGGCCCTGCTCCCCTCTGCACCGGCCCTGCTCCCCTCTGCACCGGCCCTGCTCCCCTCTGCACCGGCCCTGCTCCCCTCTGCACCGGCCCTGCTCCCCTCTGCACCGGCCCTGCTCCCCTCTGCACCGGCCCTGCTCCCCTCTGCACCGGCCCTGCTCCCCTCTGCACCGGCCCTGCTCCCCTCTGCACCGGCCCTGCTCCCCTCTGCACCGGCCCTGCTCCCCTCTGCACCGGCCCTGCTCCCCTCTGCACCGGCCCTGCTCCCCTCTGCACCGGCCCTGCTCCCCTCTGCACCGGCCCTGCTCCCCTCTGCACCGGCCCTGCTCCCCTCTGCACCGGCCCTGCTCCCCTCTGCACCGGCCCTGCTCCCCTCTGCACCGGCCCTGCTCCCCTCTGCACCGGCCCTGCTCCCCTCTGCACCGGCCCTGCTCCCCTCTGCACCGGCCCTGCTGTCCCATGCACCGGCCCTGCTCCCCTCTGCACCGGCCCTGCTCCCCTCTACACCAGCTCTCCATTCCAGTTCCACACGGTTCCCACTGCTCCGAGTCTGCCTCACACTGAGGCCCCGCTGCTATTGTGCAAGTCCTGTTTTTCTGAGGGAAGGAAAATAGTTCCCTGTGTCTCCTAAAGGGGAATAACAAAAGATAAGCCAAGAGGACACATTTTGATCAACAGGGGAAGGGAACATATTTCTTTATGTAAGTGAGGAATATTCCTTGGTGTTTAACATGGAACAGCCCTACAGAACAGCAGGTGGGGCTGGAGTGGGGTTGCCAAGTGTGGGGAGTTGAGGTTGCAGGGGTAACGGGGTCACACTGGGGCCTGTGAGGTCAAATGGTGAGCTGCCACAGCATTTGATCATAGTGACATAACCTGACATTTGAAAAGGCTCCCTCTAGCTTCTTCGTTAACACCCTGTGGTGGGAGGGGGCCAGGGCCGGAGCTGGGACACAGTTAGGAAGCTATTGCATAATCCAGGCAAGAGATGATGTGGTGGAGAGAGAGACAGAGGTGTCAAGGACGACTGCAGGGCTTTTGGCCCAAGCCACCAAAGATGATGGTGGTGGTGGTCGTGAAAACGCTGTCACCTGAAGAGGGAAGTCTGCGGGAGGGGGGCAGACCAGCAGTCTGTACAGGGCACGCTGAGTTCGAGATGTCCAGGAGACATCCACACGGAGCTGTCGGGAAGCAGGTGGACGTAGGAGCCTGGAGTTCAGGGGAGAGCTGTCTGGGCTGGAGATACAAATAAAGGGTCTTCAGCCCAGCTGGCATTTGAGGCATGAGACTGAACGAGAGCACTTGGGGGATATAGATAGAAATGAGCCAAAAGACCAAGCCACGCGAAGTTGCGGAGGAGAGGAGGAATCAAGCAGTCTGGGAGGTAGGGAAAAAAACCAGAGAGGGGAGCACCCCAGAAGCAGCAGTGTCTTGGGGGAAGGAATGCTCCACCGTGTCCAGTGCTGCTGAGCAGGTGAGAGAGGTGAGGCCTGAGGCCAGCCCCCGGCTCTAACACCATGGAGGCCATCGGTGCCCTCAGCAAGAACAGTCGTGGTGACGTCACGGGAGCAAAAGCCTGCGTGGAGTGAGCTGAGGATGCGTTGGGGAGCGTGTAGACTATCCTTTTGGGAGTTTTGCTTCAAAGAGAAGCAAAAAATGGGGAAGGAGGCAAATGCCGGTGGAAAAAGTGAAGTCGAGCAATTTTTTCTTAGGGCTTGGCAGTTAGCTCAGCTGGTTCGTGCGCAGTGTTATAACACCAATGTCAAGGGTTCGGGTCCCCATACTGGCCAGCCACCAGAACAGAAAAGAGTAGGTTTTTCTTGCAGATGGGAGAAAGAATAGCATAGGTGCATAATGAAAGGAATGATCCATTTGCGGGGGGAACCGACGCCATAGGAGGAAGAAGGGAGACAGCAGAAGTGGTGTCTTCAGTAGGCAAGAAGGATGGAATACAGGCATCTGGCTCCAGAGCCAGGTCTTCATTGTCACACAACTGCATAATGGTGACCACTGAACTTGGGGGGTAGAGAGAGGTTACAACAGAGACCTGGGCACAGCCGGGAGAGGCAGAGGCAGGCTTGGCCCTGAGGTGTTGGGGAGACCAGAGTGCCCAGTCCTGGTGCCAGCCTGGGTGGGGGCTCCTGGGCACCATGGGCTGGACCTGCCTCTCACCCCCAACAATGGTGTCTCCCTTCAGGTGTATGCTGGGCATGTTCTGTATGAGCATGAGATGCCCCCCGATCCCTTCTGGGAGGCCCATGACGCCCTAGAGCTCCAGCTGTCCTCGCCCCCTGCCCCTGACGTGGCCACCACCCTTGCTGTGGCTGTGTCTTTTGAGGCTGCCTGTCCCCAGCGCCCCAGCCGCCTCTGGAGGAACAAAGGTGAACAGCATGATGAGCTGGCAAGGTTGGGCGGACACTGGGAGAGGCCCAGAGAGGAGGGGACACAGGCCAAGGTCAGCAGCTTCTGTCTCAGTTCTAAGGACCTGAGAAGTTATAGGGAAGGCGGGTGGGGAGGTTTTGAGATCAAAGGGGGTACATAGTCCTTGTCCTCCTGGGGACCCTGAGCCCCATCCTAGAGTACCTGATTTGAGGGGAGAGACACAACTTTGCCCTGGAGACCCCATATGAGTGTCCATGGCTCTTCCCTCAGTGGACTGGACCTTCATAGCCTGTGTCCCACCTCCAGGTCTCTGGGTTCCTGAGGGCCAACAGGCCAAGATCACCGTGGCCGCCCTGGACGCCTCCAACTTCCTGGCCAGCATCCCATCACCCCAGCGCCCAGAGCATGATGTGCTCTTCCAGGTCACGCAGTTCCCCACCCGGGGCCAGCTGTTGGTGTCCGAGGAGCCCCTCCACGCTGGGCGGCCCCACTTCCTGCAGTCTGAGCTGGCTGCAGGGCAGCTGGTATACGCCCATGGCGGTGGCGGCACCCAGCAGGATGGCTTCCGCTTCCGTGCCCACCTCCAGGGGCCAGCGGGGGCCTCTGTGGCGGGACCCCAAACCTCAGAGGCCTTTGCCATCACAGTGCGGGATGTGAATGAGCGGCCACCTCGGCCACAGGCCTCCATCCCACTCCGGCTCACCCGCGGCTCCCGTGCCCCCGTCTCCCGGGCCCAGCTGAGTGTGGTAGACCCAGACTCAGCTCCCGGGGAGATCGAGTATGAGGTGCAGCGGGCACCCCACAGTGGCTTCCTGAGCCTGGCTGGGGGCAGCCCGGGGCCCGTGACCCGCTTCACGCAGGCCGACGTGGATGCAGGGCGGCTGGTCTTCGTGGCCAACGGGAGCAGCGTGGCAGGCATCTTCCAGCTGAGCATGTCTGATGGGGCCAGCCCACCCCTACCCATGTCCCTGGCCGTGGACGTCTTGCCGTCTGCCATCGAGGTGCAGCTGCAGGCACCCCTAGAGGTGCCCCAAGCTTTAGGGCGCTCCGCACTGAGCCGGCAGCAGCTCCACGTGGTTTCCGATCGGGAGGAGCCGGACGCAGCGTACCGCCTCCTCCAGGGGCCCCGGTACGGCCACCTCCTGGTAGGCGGGCAGCCCGCCTCAGCCTTCAGCCAGCTCCAGGTGGACCAGGGTGAGGTGGTCTTTGCCTTCACCAACTTCTCCTCCTCTCACGACCACTTTAGAGTCCTGGCACTGGCCAGGGGTGTCAATGCATCGGCCATAGTGAACATCACCGTCAGGGCTCTGCTGCATGTGTGGACAGGTGGGCCGTTGCCCCAGGGTGCCACCCTGAGCCTGGACCCCACCATCCTAGATGCGGGCGAGCTGGCCAACCGCACGGGCAGTGTGCCCCGCTTCCGGCTCCTGGCGGGACCCCGGCACGGCCGCGTGGTTCGCATGCCCCGGGCCAGGACGGAACCCAGGGGCAGCCAGCCTGTGGAGCAGTTCACTCAGCAGGACCTTGAGGATGGGAGGCTGGGGCTGGAGGTGGGCAGGCCAGAGGGTAGGCCCTCCGGCCCCACAGGCGACAGTCTCACTCTGGAGCTGTGGGCACGGGGTGTCCCACCTGCTGTGGCCTCACTGGACTTTGCCACCGAGCCTTACGATATGGCCCGGCACTACAGCATGGCCCTGCTCAGTGTCCCTGAGGCTGCTCGGACGGAAGCAGCAAAGCCAGAGAGCAGCACCCGCATGAGTGAGCCAGGCCCGGCAGCATCCAGCCCTGTGCCCACAGTGGCCAGGGGAGGCCTCCTGGGCTTCCTCGAGGCCAACATGTTCAGCGTCATCATCCCCGTGTGCCTGGTCCTCCTGCTGCTTGCGCTCATCTTACCTCTGCTCTTCTACCTCCGCAAACGCAACAAGACAGGCAAGCACGACGTCCAGATCCTGACCGCCAAACCCCGCAATGGCCTGGCCAGTGACACTGAGACCTTTCGCAAGGTGGAGCCAGGCCAGGCCATCCCACTCACAGCCGTGCCTGGTCAGGGGCCCCCACCAGGAGGCCAGCCTGACCCAGAGCTGCTGCAGTTCTGCCGGACACCCAACCCTGCCCTCAAGAACGGCCAGTACTGGGTGTGAGGCCTGGCCTGGGCCCAGATGCTGATCGGGCCAGGGACAGGCTTGCCCAGACCTGGGCCCCATTGCTTCCATGCCCTGGTGCTGCCTGAGTATCCCCAGAGCAAGAGAGATCTGGAGACACCAGAAATGAAGGCTGCTGGGAGAGAGTCCGGGGGTCCCAGACAGAGTGGAGTCAAGAGCTGGACTCTCCCTCAGCCCATTATGAGCCTGGAAAACTGCAGGGGCCACAGTCAGAGGCAGGCTGAAATTCAGTCCTCCTTCCCTGGAGCTGGTTTGGTCTTTCAAAACCGGGGTGGCCTCCTAGGTAGGTCAGGACTCTGGGTCCTCGGTATGTGACCTTGGGTAAGTCACACCTGACCCAGGCTGCCAAGGGGGCAAGGAGAAGAAAGAGCCCTGGGGAGAGAAGGGACAGAAAGGGGATTCCTGGCTTTTCCACCCCAATCCAGGCCCCAGGGTTGAGGGAAAAACTGTTACCCTCTGGTTTTTTAGAGAGATGGTATTTGCTGGAGCAGAGGGCAGGAGGAGAGAGCTCCTCCACTCTCCTGAAAGCATAAGCCAATAGAATAATATATTCAGGGTGCAGGGTGGGTGAGTTGCTCTGGGAAGGGGTTTATTTAAGGGGGATTGCAAGGAAGCTATTTAACATGGTGCTGAGCTAGCCAGGACTGATGGAGCCCCTGGGGGTGTGGGACAGAGGAGGATCTGAGGCCAGTTCATTGCTGGGGCCCAACCTTGATGGGCTAAGCAAGCCTTGGTCACCGGCCCCAGAGCAAGCTGGGCTTGGGAGAATGGAAGTTCCCGGGCCCAGGGTCTCTGCAGTGCCTGTGCCCCCGTAAGGACTAGGGGGTGGGCAGGTGAGGGCTCTTGGCTCCACAGGACCTGGATAAATGGTGCTTTGGAGGCTCTGGACAGCTGTGTGTTTGTGTCTAACTGTGCACCGGGCCCTTGTCCACGTTGGCCTGCATTCCCCCAGGGCAGGCCATAGGGCCTGGCCTTAGCCAATGGGATAGACAGGGCCAGGTAGGTCCCTGAATTTCCACCTCCTGGCGACTTCCAGATCTCTGCCCCTACCTATGTGGGCAGGTGAGCTGGTCTTTGGGAGATGGGACCAAAGCTTTTTGTTTAGTAGAGATAGGCTAGGTCCTCTACAAGGAGCTTCAAGAAAAAAATAAAAGGCTCCCAACCCTAGACTTCCCAGCCTGAGTGTTGGCCTCCACAGTCATGTCCCTCCACCCACCTCTCAAGGGGATGGAGCAGCAAAGTGAGAGTAGGAGGACTTGGGGATCCCAAGGCTGGTGCTGAGGGGGAGGATGAAGGGGACCCCACAGGAGCTTCCACCCGGCTCCCTGGAGACTTTTACATGGTAAACTTCTGCTGGTCTCCTCCCTCCAACGGGACGACCAAAGTACTTCTTCTCAGAGACAGAGGAAGCAGCAGGGATTCAGAAAAGCCAGACACCCCTGCATGTGGCCTGAGAGTCCATCGTTTGGTTAGAGATGGGTTCAGAGAACAGGGCATCTCCAGAGAGCCCTTCTGTGAGTTGCTGGGGATCCACTACCCTCCATCCCTTCCCCTTTTGAGGGTGTTAGAGGGTCAGAGGCAATGGAGACAGGTTCTGGGTCCCAGGGGATAGGCCTGGCCCTGAGAGTAGATTGAAGTCAGAAGAAGAGAAACATGAGGTGTCTGAACGCTGGGGGAAGTGAGGTGGGGGTAGGGGGTCTGGGGCCTGAGTACAGCCAGGTTGGGGGTGGAGAGCCCCAGCCAGCCTTTGGCAGCTCGCCTGCATCTGGGAACCAGAGTCACCTCTTCCCTGTGCCCCAGCATCTGTAACATTTGAACCAGAATCCGGAACAGGAGAGGAGACTCCAAATCCCCCCAGTGCTTCCTGAAGAGCCCCAGACATGCCAGTAAATAACCATTAAACATGATGTGGTGTGGGCTGGCCAATGAGGGGAAGCCCAGAGGGAGAGGGCTAGCTGGCTCTGTCTGCTGCCTTCTCTCCTTAGAAAGTGTCGCCCTTTTCCATGGGAGGGACAGCCATACAGTAGCTAAAGCTGAGCATGTTCCACTACCTCCTGCTGACCTTTCCATTCTCAGTGTAATGAATTACAGTATTTAACTGATGGCTGCTATACTCTTCTAGGGCGTCAACTTCTCAGGGGGCCTCCTGTGGCCACCAGGATAATTGATGGGTTGTGCTGTGTTCCTTCACATTTCAGATGTCCTAAGAGCCCTGACAGAAGCAGCCCTTGGTTAAATTGATCAGTGGCCAGGAAAGGACTTTTCTATTCAAACACAGAGGAGTCCCCCAGTCTGAAAACTTCCAGCTCTGTTAGCCCAGAGCCTGGAGTTAATCCGAAGGCCTCTTTCTGATGCCTTGTGAGATCACAAGTGGCTCAAGTGACCCAGTCTCTGGGTCTTGAAAGCTCAAATTGTTTAACTTTTGGGCCGGCCCGGTGGTGCACTGCTACAGTGCGCCGCTTGGGAAGCGCGGTGGCACTCCCGCCGAGGGTTCGGATCCCACATACAGACCAGTTCCCACTCACTGGCTGAGTGAGGTGCGGGAGCAACATCGAGGGTTGCGATCCCGTTGCCGGTACGGGGGCGACACTGAGGGTTGCGATCCGTTGCCGGACACGGAAAAAGACAAAAAAAAAAAATTGTTTAACTTTTTATTGCTCACAGTGGTGCCCATGGCCCAGCATCACCAGCATTATTACTTGGGCGCCTGTTAGACATGAGGGAACACAGGCCATGCTCCAGACTGGCTGAATCAGACTGTATTTTAACAAGGTCCCCAGGTGACTAGAATACACACTACACAGTAAAGCTTAAGATGCACTGACAAGTCCTCCCTGCCAACCTCTAATTAAGGGAAGCAGATGGAAGAGGCAGAGACCAGGCCAAGATCACACAGTAGGGTTAGTGGCTGAGCCAGAAGGAGGTCAGGCCTGATAACCCTGTCCCAGGGCTTTGTCCTCCACGTGCAGTCCAGCTGGTCCTTCCTTTCCTGTCCCCTACCTGCCTGTCTGTGTCCTGCCTGTCAGAGGGTGGGACAAAGGGTGGTGTTTAGCCAAAGTCACCAGTCAGTGCCTGAGTCATGCATCGGGGCCTCCCCCGTGGAGGAGCAGCAGCAGCCAGCAGGAGAGGGGGAAGGTGCTATCAGGCTACTGCCCAGGCCTGGTCAGGAAGGAGGGGGTGGGCTGCCCGCAGCTGTCCACCCTACAGAGGGTAGAGACTGAGGCTGCCACATTACCTGTCCCTTCTGCCCCCTGGAAGGAATGTTGGGGTATGGCATCCAGCCTGTGTGCTGCCCTGGTGCTGGGAGTGCTTTGGGACCCCCAACTCCACTCCCGTCCCTGGTTGCTGAGCCCCCAGCCTGGGTGAAGTCCCCAGCCATCCACACCTTGCAGTAAACATCATTCACTTCTATATACTCCATCAAGGCAGTGTCCAGCCTGGGCCAGCCACTTCTGTGCCCACAGCTAGTATATAGTAGATGTTCAGTAAACATCCACTGTGGGAATATAGCACCTCCCTTCCCACAGAGATGCCCTCAAGCCAAGAGGCCTCTGACCATCTGTCCCACCCTGACCTGCTCTCCTGGGTTCCCACTCTGGTTCCCTGGCTTCACTCATCCCCAGGGTTGCTGGCGGGGCTCCCAACTGCTGCTCCGGCCCCCAGATCTCTGCCAGGGCAGACCTGGCCCCAGGCCCGGAATTTCGACAGGGCAGGTTTAATCTGTCCCTCTCAGACTCTTCACAGCTTACTCCTCACTCTGTCTGTGCTCACCCCTGGCTCCCTCCCACCCAGACACCTGGTGTCTATCCTGCTCAGAACCCTCTGGGTAGAACCTTCACCAAATCATGCCACAGATAGAAGCAAAGTTGACAAGTGGGGCAGGAGGAGGAGAAACCCAGAACCCGCTCACGATCAGCCTGCCCCTGCCCTGACAGCCCCTCCTCAGAACCTCCAGGCTCCACAGGACCCTGTGCCAGCTGGGCTAACTGCTCGCTGGGTGCACCTGATCCCAACCTTCAGGGGCAAGGAACAGAGCAGAGCCAAAGGGGCCCTCACCTCTCCCCCACCCAAAGGACCCTGATTCAGCCAGGGGACTCAGTCCCAACCGTAGAACAGAGTAGAGGAGAGACTCGCCCACAGTCACGCAGCAAGTCAGTGGCAGAGCTGGGCCTCCTGGAGGCTCGAGACCCTTCCCAATATCAAGGATCCATCTGTCAGCAGCAGGATCCTGCAGCTAGAGAAGCATCAGCGGAAGTGCAATGGGCCGGGGATGCCAGGCGTGCTGACCAGCACAGACCTCCGCCAACCAGAGTGCAGCAGGGGAACCCTGTTGAGTCATGTTGGGGAAGGCGGGGCCAGGACTAGGGGTGGCCTAAAGGGCTATTGCGCAGGCAGGTGGGCGAGGCTGGTGGAGCCTGGGTACTCCTGGAAGGCAGTGACTCAGGCTGGAAGGGCCCCTTCCACGTCAGCCCTACTAAAAGGTAACCTTGTAGGTGCGGCACCTGGACAGGCAGCTGGGGCAAGGCCCAGAAACCCACAAGATCGCCGCTCCATTATCTGCCCTGAGAACCACAGAGTCTGGGGACAGAACCTATGAACCGAAGGAGGGAGGGCAGAGGTGGTGACTGTCCACCAGACGGACTTGTACAGGTCCACCTACCTTTCTGAGGAGGAGCCCAGTGCCTGCTTTCTGCTTAGAGCCCCATCTCCCCTCTCCATTTCTGCCTCTTCCTGTCACCTACCAGCATCCATGGTACGTGGTTGGCCAGAAGGCTTTAGCCCAGCTCCCACTCTCTGCCCGAGGTAGGATCTATTGAAATAGTGCAACTGAGGGCCGGCCCGTGGCTCACTCTGGAGAGTGCGGTGCTGATAACATCAAGGCCCTGGGTTCGGATCCCATATAGGGATGGCCAGTCAGCTCACTGGCTGAGCGTGGTGCTGACAACACCAAGTCAAGGGTTAAGATCCCCTTACTGGTCATCTTTTTTTTTTTTTTTAAATCCTTTTTGTCTTTTTTACTGACTGGTAACGGGATCGCAACCCTCGGTGTCGCGCCCATACC